ATATATATATATATATATATATATATATATATATATATATATATGAAAAAGGAAACATTAAAACTTTATTAGATGGCTAAAAAATATGGAGTTAATGTTTTGTTTATGTTATTTATAAAAATTTATTACACCAACCTAATATGAAAAGAAAGATATATATATATATATATATATATATATAAACACAAACTTTTACTAATGGTTCCTGTGTGGATTGCTCTGGTTGCTTTGACTTTTTACTCTTCGATCTTTTAAACTTTGTTCTTTCCATAAAGTTTTTTAGACACTTTTAGTTCTGAGATGAAGTACACTTGTTAGAGACGAACGACAAAACTAACGAGTAAGACAGAGCGAGGTAGCAAGAACGAATTGAGAAAAAAGATAGAAAAAAAGTGTAGGAGAAGATGACAAGAAGTAGAGAAAGGATTAGTGAGTTTACGAGAAAAGAGTGAAATTATTAGAGCGATTATTTTGTGAGCAAAACAAAGTAGGAATTGGGATTTTGCGACGAGAGACGCGAATTGAGAGTTAAACGTATGAAATTCACGAGATTAGATGATGAGAGATATACTATTTTCTTACTCGTTGGCTCGATCGCTAACACACTCATTTAATTATAAAAATTTCGTATAACTTTTAAAATCTATAAAATTATTCTTAATCAATAAAATAGATTAATAAAAGAAAGATGAGAACAATAAAATCACTATAAAAACAATACTAATTATTTTTGTGCTAATGCTTTTTATAAGGCATAATGAGGATTCGTCTTTTGCGTTTTGCTATACTTTTACTTTGAACACTCTTGCTGTATTGTAGTAATATCTCAAATTTCGTTATGTTTATACGTTTTTAAAACATATTTTATATTGAAATCTTCTACGGTAATTAAGTAATTTTGTAGGTTACGGATCACATAATATATTTTACTAAAACAAAAAAAATACGACGTGTTAGACATTAGACCCGTTCGTTTACGAAAAACTTCTGAACTAGTGCAATAAATTAGAGTGAAACGAGGATACTTTCTTTCACTCTTATTTATTGCACTAATTCAAAAATTCTTTGAAAAATGAACAGATTTATTATTTAGTTATATTTTAGCAACTCTTCAGAGCGTTAATCCATCGTATAATTCGTTACAATAATATAATACAGTTTGTATCGTATTATATATAACTATATTTCTTAATAATTATATATGTACAATGTCATAGGAAATAAAGTAATTCAATTAATTCAATAGACAAAAGATAAATTTTTTCTTGTAAAAATTATCTTAAATCTTAAAGATAAATTTTTTCTTGTAAAAATTAAAGAGATATACGCTCCACTTTCAAGATAAAAGTGCGAATTTCCATTGGTTTCAAGAGAACATTAATTACGTCGTCTTGAATTTGTACGGGTTGTATATTTTCTTCTGTCTCTTGAAGAATATCATTGGTCTCTGGTTTCCATTTCATGCGTTTCATATCGCTCAGTCGCTGATTAGCACCGAGCGTGGTTTCTTCGATCGACAAGATGGAGAATGTCGAGAAGAGATCCTATCGCAAAGAAAACGCAATAGAATTAAAAGACACTTTTAAACTTTTCAACTACTTTTAGAACTAATTATTGCAATGTTCATAATCATCGTACAATTGTATGTTTCATATATTCTATAAATTCATTTTATATAATATATTCTATAATTAGAAAAATGATATACAAAAATAAAGGTGTACCTGTATGTTAACTTCCACAGGTTGAGACATTTGCTGCGCTTCACCGACCTCGAAAAGATGTTCTAATCTTAACAAAATTGTACCATCCTTCCATGGCTCTAACGTAAGTATGTGTACGTTTGGTGGCAATGATTTCTTAAGCCCTGAAATCTGTAATTAAAAAGAATTATCTCAAGATGGTCTCAAGTCGTATATGGCGCAGAACAGATCTTGACAGACTATTCGTCGAATTATTCTAAGTAGAAGATTTATTGTGAATTTTAGAAATTATCTACCGAGTTTAGTGTTATATTAATTGTAAAATAATAATGAGTTATTTTATTTTTCATGAAACTTGCGAAGCAGAAATTCGAAAGTATACATACGAAGTTTCTGTATGTACTATGTGCGTCTCTGAGATCATTCAAATTGGCAGGTGCACCTAAGATCCAAGGTTGCAAGATCAATTTGAGGGCCAATTCCTTCTCCTTCAATGCGAATTCATCCAAGTTATTTAGTCCGCCACCAAAGAGATAATGAGTACCTCTTACTACCAAACCTTCGCCATACGCAGATTCATTTAACGCTTCACCGACGCCAAACGCATCATCCTTCAGAAGTCTTCGATGAAGCTAGAAGAAATATCGTCTACGTTATATATACGTATATTTTTACTCGATACCGTAGTACGTTATATATCTTAGAAAATCGATAAAGTTGCAGATTAGTGATATATAAATTTGATATATAATTTAATTTTAATTTATTATAATATAATTTTTTTCATATGTGGATTCTTTAAAAGTACAATTTTGTATTTTAATTGGAACGTATTACGTATACTGAACTTGTACTTTTAGCTATAAATTGGATTTTAAGTTATTTTTAAAAATTTTGTCGTTCAAACCAGTAAGTTGACATGAAAGTAGTGAAATAAAATCGTCTAAATTTTATTTTATATAGAAGATTTACCATTAGTTCAATAGCGCCGTCATCCATGCTGCTTCCACCTTGAGCACGATCGGTCAGGACACTGAGTTTCAGTTGCTTTTCCTCGTCTTTTATAGCGATTTTACTAGTCACTGGATAATAATTCCCAGATATTGGCTCGTGCAACTTCAGATCCCACGTTGGTCTATAATTTCTCACGCGTTTCAACATTTCCCTGCCATTGCTGTCCGTATAGAATTCGCCATCTGTTTTTAAATTGCTCGAGTACTTCGTGATAATTTCTTTACCAATCTTATCTCTGAAAAGAACATGTAGCAATTAGAAATATTATAAATATTATATTAATATTATGTTATATTAAACATTTTATATTTTAATAATCTTATATAAACTTAAAATATCATTATTTATAATTATTACTATATATGAATTACATAGAGAATTTATTATATATATAATATATATAGAGAGGTAGAAAAATTAATTTTAATCCAAATTTCATCAAATATTTAACAAAATCACATTGCTTGAATAGCAATTAAAAATTTGGCAGTAATAAAAATTGATAATTACTTTACAGATATCGGTCCAATGAGCCAATCGAACTCGACGTATTCCTCTTCTGCATAGATTCGAATTACTTGATTAACCCATTCGTTTATCGTCTGATGAAGTTCTTCCACGACCGGACCTGACAGAGAAGAGACATATTTTACAGTAAAGAGTATATTTAATATTTCGAGTGCTGTGAATTCATATACAGAGTGAGGTACATAAAGTATTGCGAAAAATGTTGCGAAGAAACATTATCCTTTTTTAAAAGAGCTATTAAAATCTGCCAGATATTTATAGGCCATTTTATTTAAGAAATTAAGAGATACGAAAAAAATTATTCGTAACACTTTACGTTTTCACCGTTGATGAAAAGATTCTAGATAAATAAATATTACCTTTGTGAATTTCGTACGTTCCAGTGTAGATGAAATTATTAACTGATGCGTTTTTAGGTCTGAAGATATACGCGCCGGACGATCTATTTTCGAAAACCTTGTTATTACCCTCTGCTCCCTCGTAGTAATGGAAGGACTGTACGAAGTTCATGTTCTTTTGCTTGTTGAAGCGTACTATCACGTTACCATCATTATTAACGGATATATTATACAGCTGAAAATTATATACACACAAAAAATTAATTCTGTTATTTCAGAAGTAAAATTACGACTTATTTTGCTTTTTTAAATTTAATTTTTTATTATGAAAAGAGAAACGCTAATCTGTTTATGTAGAATGCTCGAGAAAAAGAGATTGTGCGTGTTATCAAAAATTATTTTATTATATTAGATTATATATAAACTAGAATATTATAAACTGGATGTATTTTAATTGTAACCTCTATATTATCTTAATCATGAACGTTAACTATATTAATTAATGATTTTCTCTGTATGTCTATATATAAACGTCTATATGTTTACCTCATTGCTTATGAAATTCGTTGGTGGAACTTGCGGAGTAGCTTCCTGCGTTTGTTTAGAAATGAGGTAGGACACCAAACCAAGGGGAGGAATGTTCGTAGCACGGAAGACAAGCTCATATTTCGCCTTGCTTGTTCGTCCTGGGACATTTTGAACGCTCTGAGGAATCGGCACTGTCTGTGTGGTTGGATACACTCCTGTTTAATCATATATAAATATATACATGTGTTAGCTATCTTGGAAGATCGATTGAGTATATCAACAAGTATAATATTTGCTATAATTATTTTATATATTCCGCTTATATATTTTTCTTGTATTTAATAATTGTTATTCGGTTTATATATCTGTATTTATGTGAAAGAATGTTTCATATATATTTCGCGATCATCGTATGTGATTGTGTAAAAATTATGAACATGATTTATAGAATTACTATCATATATATACTACTTTATATTTTCTGATATTTTAGTGTACGAACCATCATTGAGTGATTGAACCGCATAAGCATTTTCTTGGACTGGAATGCGAATGTAGGTGGAGATTGGTCGACTCAGAGGATTGTACACCGTAATCGTGAACGAGTCATTTTCTTCAGAGAACGTGCAGGAGCTAATGTTTAGTTCCATACACGTGAAAATCTTCGTGTCTTGCGTTACTCCTGACCACTTCCTGTTTCATAGGTAACAGTAAAGCTTACTTTTTAATCCTATGTAATATATAAAAATAATTCTAAAATACATACACAAATAATTCTATATAATATATAAAATATAATTTGACTTTGAATTTTTTCCTATTATAAGAGAGATTGTAAAATATACATATAAAAATAAAATGTAGAAGAGAAAAAACTGGAATTTAAATTAAAAACATAGAATAAGATAGTAAATTAGATAAATCGTAGAAAGAAATAAAACTAAAAGTTAAGGCAAGAAATTCTGATATATACTATATACTCACTCTATAGCCTCTGACATTATGTCTTCAGCGTGATACATACTCTCGTACAATATACGTGAATAATCGTTTGCGACTAATTGCTTCTCGGTGCCGGTAACAGCGTCGTGATGCTGCATCACTCCCATAGCTTCGCGAAAATGTTCTAAATTTTTGTCGTGATTTTTCAGATCTGTCAGTGCGACAAGCTGTTTGCTTGCCTGGAAATAACAAATATATCAATTTTACTTAAACTATTTTATTAATATACTTAAAATATTTTACTCAAACATGACAGTAAAATATCTGATATATATATATATATATATATATATATATATATATATATA